ATTTTCGAGCTTGTCCTAATATTTTTCAATCTCAGCCCCTGTATTTTGTAGCTCATCCTCGGTATTTTCTAGCTCATCTCTAATATGCTCTAGCTCATCCCAAGTATTTTCTAGCTCATCCCTAATATTTTCTAGCTCATCCCTAATATTCTCTAGCTCATCCCCAGTATTTTCTACATCATCCATAGTATTTTCTACTTCATCTGTAATATTGTCTAGCTCATCCTCAGTATTTTCTAGCTGATCCTCAATGATGCCAAGACTTTTTTTTGTCTTATCCACAACATTTTAGGTCTCATTTACAATATTTTTAGATCCTTAATATTTTTTAGCTCATCCCCAATATTTTTTAATCGCCTTTCCAATATCTTATAGCCCATCCCCAATATTTCTATCTCATCCACAATATTTCCCAGACTTTGCTATCTCATTCCCAATAATTTTAAGCTCAACCCCAGAATTTAATCCTTACTAGAGTCTATCGTCATTTTTTCTCTTCTTCTTTTTTTTGGTTGTCACACTTTTGTGACCCGCTATTTCTTTTGTGCCTTTATAATCGAAGCAGACTTTGTGCTGTTGAGGCTAGAGAGGTGAGCAGAGTAAGTCTGATTCCCTGTTTGGACTTTTCTGGTGACATCCACTCCTTGGTGCTCATAACAATCTGACCTTATGCCGTTGCGAGTGCCGTAAAACCTTACTAAAACGTTTTAAAAAAGTCAGATAGAACTTTCTAGTAATTCTGAGGCTTAAAGACGCACTGTTTGGGAGCACTTCTTTTAATTATTATTGGTATTATTATGAATTTTTCCTTTCTGTTTTCTTTATCTTACTCTCAAAAGGGAAAACAACAACATTTGCTCTATGAAATACATGCCTACTATGAAAAATACAAATTCGTTATTTTGATCTGTGTTTGTCGGTTTGAAATGTGCGTAACTTAATTTGTTAGGCACGCTGACAAAATGAGTTACTTCTCGTAATCCACGAATGGAGACATTGGAGGATGTGTTTTCTGATTGAACTGTAGGCCTCATTTTTTTTTTTTTTACCAAGTACGACTTCTTTTAGGGTGAGCCTTTTCACCTTGTTGCTCAAAAATAGGTTTATGTTTTAGGTTAAGTTAGAGTTTAGTTTAGTTAGTTTTAGTAGAAGTTTTACGGCGCTCGCAACTGCATTAGGTCATATGAGCGCTAGAAGATTAGAGCTGTTACAAGAGAGTAACAAACATAAAAAGAAGAAAGGGAGATAAGGACGATAGATGTTTGACATTTACTGACAAGAAGCAAACCACACCAGAGCACCCGAAAACCACCCACCAGTTAGAGTTTTACGACACTTGCAACACAATGAGGTGATACTATAAGTGCCGAAGATTAGAGGTTTTACAAGAGATTAACAAACACAAAGAAGGAGGAGAGATCAGGAGGATAGATGTTTGGTAGGAAGGAAGGAGCAGACCACACCAGAGCACCCGCCAACCACCCACTGCCACTGTCTAGCGTGTCAAACATTTTTCACCCCCCCCCTCTCTCTCT